CCGGTGCGGCGGCCCACTTCCGCCTCGTTCAGGGCGGGGCGGGCACGCGCTGCAGTTCCAATCGGGGTTTGTGATTGAGAAGGGACTGTGGGACCCTTGGACTCCCGAGCTCCACTTCCGGCCGCCAACTCATGCCCTCTCCACCATTGTTCCCCCTTATGCGGGAGGGAGCGTGGTCGGGGTCCCATGCTGGTACTCTGTGGGCTCCCTGCCCCTCCCAACTTGGTTGGGAAAGACTGGGCCGCCTCATGTCCCCAACTCCCCTCCCCAAGTCTGCGTGGTGGACTTCAGCATTCCTGTGAGACCAAATCCGGAAGTCCCCTCGCCCTCCCTTCCCGCCATCCTGCGGGGCCTGCAGCAGGGGAACTTTGTGAGAAGTTATAGGGTAGTATAAGGAATGACCCCTGCTGTCCCCATCACTGCCTCCCGGGTCCACACTGCCCGGAAGTGGGGAGGGGGAGCGGAAGTTCAAATTGGGGGGAGGGGATTTCCGGGCGGGAGGGAACCGGATGTGGGGATTTGGGGTGTAAGTGGGAGGGGTGGAAAGGTTCCCTGGGGTATCTAATCCCGAGAGCTGGCGTGCTGGGTCCATCCCAGGTCCCCTTTTAGAAGTTTTCCGACTTCCCCGGAAAGCCCCCAGGGATCTGCTTCCTCATCTTGGGGCATAGGTACCTGGACCTAAACTCTAGGTTACTTGGAGACCCAGGCGTCCGGGCCCCTAACGACTCCTTCAGAACCTTTGACCAAATAAGGACAAAGTTGCTTCTCCGGCTTTGCCCGCCCCCTCTCTTCCCCTATTAGCTTCTGCTTTTCCTGAAGGAGGGTTCTGAGCATCCAAAGGCTCCCCACTCCCTTCCACTCCACTTTCCTCACTGGCTTTTGGCCCTTTATTTCCTGGGTTTGCTAAGTCTCCAGAGGAATATGCCATCTCTTCATGTTACCATTCTCTGGGTTTGAGGATCCTGATCTTTTTGTGGACTAACTTCCAGAAAGTCCTAAGAGCTTCTCAGCTTTCATAGATGAGTACAAAGCACTTAACACACACATTTCCTCTCCTGAGAAGTGAGAAGCAGGTATGCCCTTGGAGAAGGTGGGAACCTTGGTGTACTAACTTGAGTGCTTGGTTCCCCTTCCAGCCAGCTGAAATTGGTGTCCTGGTTGGCAAAGACCGGGGAAGTATGTTCGTGAATGGGCTGACAATCGGGGGCCAGAAATGTTCTGTGATCCGGGACTCGCTGCTGCAGGACGGGGAACATAGCATGGATCTTCGTACCAAGAGCACTGGGGGAGCCCCCACCTTCAACATCGGTATCGCCATGACTGCCAAGGGTGAGTTTTCTGAGTCTTATCTTTCTGTAGTCTGTAGCTCCAATATCCCTAATGTACATCCTTCTATGAATCTTTTGGGTTCTTCTGTGTGGTTCCCCAGTATGAAGGGATCAGAGCAGCCTTCTCCCAGCCTGCTGGGTATTTAGGATATTGGATAGTCCCTCCAGTTCTTAGTTCCTCATCTTAAAATATAAAGAAATTGACTACCTCTTCAGTTTCTTCCTACTTGAGGCTTTTCAGATGAGAAACTCCTTTTTGGGAGGAGGCTGACTGTTGATGGTAGTCAGCACTTAGGAGTTGTCTTTTGAAGCCTTTTGTTAAAATTTGGAGTTGGCAGGCTCACCCATATCCATTTCTAGCCTGAACAGGAGTCAGGTCTATAAGCCTTTGACCCCTAAATTTTAGTGTTCTGCTTCTAGTCTTTTAGCTTGACACCCCCCCACCCCCCGCCT